TACCTTTGCCATATTAATCATTTAGGATGGTGCTTTAGCTGTTCTCTGCATATTCCCTTTGTTTGCAATTATTCTATGAACATCAGTATCCATACCTGTGCAGCGATACATCTCACTTTAGAGCATAATGGTAAAGCAGCTTTTAATTTATCAAGTTGCCATATTTACTTGATGGTTCTGCCTGATTTTGCCATAGACCTTTTTTATTAATTAACCTAAATAAGTTTGCTGAGGTTTGTATTCCAATTTCCTGTACTTAACAAGAACAATGCTTGATGCTGCAGCCATAGCCTTCATCCAATTGCAAGCATTCAGTCATCCATTTGTTCCTGGAAGAAAGAGATTTGTTGCCCACTCTGCTCTGCTGGCTGGCAGCATGCATACCTCAGAATTTAAGGTCATTTACAATTAATTTCTGTAGCTCTCTGTGCAGATTTAAGGATTTGACTATTTATTTCACTTTGATTTCTAGACACGGAAGTTCAGAGGACCTCCCTGAGCTCTGCCTTGACTCTTCCTTGACTTAGCCTCTGTCCTGCAGTATTTCTTGTAGCCCTCCAGTGCTCTGCTAAAGTGGTATTTCACAGCCACATGCTTGTTCAGCCTTCCCCCTCAGATGTATTGGGTTGGAAAATGTGACTGGGAAATGGGACATTTGCCTGTACAGTACAGTGGAGTGACAAACACAGGTGTGCATCATTTGACTCACCAGATGCAGAGAACGCTATAATTTTGCTTCATTTTGCCCTTTATTCTTCTAAACACTTGCACTTATTACATTTTTTTTTTTTTTTACACTGGCAGCTACCTTTGAATTTTATCAGTAGCTGCTGGTATTTCTTCTTGGCTTTGTTTTTCTGTAATGTTTTGGTTTTTTAAGTTATTACTGAAGTTAAATCATATCAGTACGTTTTCTTCTTCTTCTCTTCTACTGTTTCAATGCCTGAAGTTCTCTGTATGGCTAAGAAAAGACAAAAATAAAAGTAAAAAGGATGTAATGAAATGTTTTCCCTGAGTTTCAATTCAAATTGTAATTTTGCTAAAAAAAAAAAAACAACACATCAGAATCTCTAGAGTCAATCATGACCTCAAACCATCTCTGTCTTTCTTATCTGAAAGAAGACAAACTTTCATTTCAAAAAGGCTTCTACTGAAATCCTCATGTGTCTTTTCTTAATCATCTCCTTTTAACTACCTTAATTCTGCATTTTGATTGCTTTAATCCTTAATCACCAAGAGCAAAAAAAAAAAAAAATTTTCCAGCAATGAGGAGAGTCCCTTCAAGCAACAGTTCCACATCCCAGTCTCTGCTAATGTATTTTTCGTCCAAGAGTCACTAAATAAAGCACATAAACAGCAGTGCCAGCAGAGACCAGACACCAGCAGTTCAACTCCAGCCTCCTGCTGCAGAAGTATTTGCTTATCAATGCCAGGGTGCCCTTTTTGCTATGCCAGGAATGGCAGGCATATCACTTTTTGTTTTCCTATGTACTGTTCTAATTATTGCTCCACTATGAGTATGTTTTATTTCTCAGCCCAGCCGTCTCTTGGGACTGATTTTCATTCAGTACAAATGTTCTCATTATAAAGACTTAACATGAGGAGAATACAAATGAGAAGATGAGTGCATGCTAAGAACTTGCTTATACAGAAACTGTATTGATCAAAGGAACAGCAGAGTAAAACACGTCAGCATTAACATGCTCCTATTTTCATGGTTCAAACAGTTTCCTTTCCCATAAGAATAGTGTGATTCCTCGTCTCTGAAACCAGGCCAGGAAAGACTTTGTTTAACTGAAATAACAAGTGCAAAGTGTTTCTATCGAAGATTATGGTACAGCAATAAAGAGCTCTTTGAAAGCAAATGCATCTTCAATGGTTTCAGAGATTACCCCTTGTCACTATGAGAAAACTCAAAGAAGAATCAAAATTCCAAAAGGTTTTCACAAATTAAATTACTACGTGACCATGACTTGGAACAATTTTCATAAAGCTAAAACACCACTTACTTTATCCAAGTGATCACTGACCACACAGCTGACCCGCTCACCATGTCGGTTCTGGGAGGGTGCATCCCTCGGCAACTGCTTTTGTCCAGTGTTTTTGGGCTGTCTTTGCTGCTTCAGGATCAGGTAGTACTCGATGCCAGATAAAGACTTCAGCAAATGGTCATGCAGGTCCTCCTCTGACCTCTGGCACTTTGAGTGAGACCAGAGGCGTCTCTGCAAAGATATCAATATCTTTGGGATTTCAGTAACAACTTCCCCTCCTCTTCCAAAGGGAGGGAAACAGCTGAAACCAACAGTGCCAGTTCAGTCCCTCATTTTTTCAGGCCAAGAGAATATACCACTAACAGCTGAACTGAGGCAGAGGGCATTCACAGATAAAAAACTGTTTTGAAAAAGACTGATCAAAACCAAGTACCATGCTAAAAGCAGAGTGAAACAACCCTCAAGTTGCCTCAAGCTACCAGTCTCCACCTGAGGCAACCAGATTACCTTCTGGCTTCCATGGGGCTGCAGATGGCTCTGCAGGTAGTATTTCATCTGTAGTGAAAAATTTTCAGTATACAATTAATTTCACAGGCATATTCTCAGACATAACTGAATTTAAGAAGCAAATGTATGTTTTTACTAAATTTCAATTTATAAGCTCTACTGAGTGCAGTGGCTCTGCTCATCTAGTTTTCCTGCTTCCTGACTACATAAATAGTCTAACAAGAATATATGAATCATGTCCAGACATAAAAATGAAACAGAAAGTAATTCTTGTCACCAGAATGAAGCATGGGTCACATTCTGATCCATGACACACTTATATGGTCTTTAGGCTAAAATAGCACACACAAAGGTGCGCAGAGTTATAACAAGAAATTTCTATAAATACATCACATGAAGCCTCTTGAATTCTAACTTACAGACTGTATAACCTTGTCATGAAGTAGTATTTTACCAGAGCATCATAGTTACTGCAGTAGGACCACCAATAGATACACGGTATTATCCAGTGTAGGTCTCAATATCTGTATATCTGGATACAGTGCCTGAATCTGACCTCAAGTTCCAATCATTTTAGCTTTAGATCACCTTCAGTCAACACAGAAATGCCATTTAGTCTCCTTTTCACAAAGACATTGATGTACATTCAGCTGGTGCATTACTACCTAGCTACCACACTGAGCATCCTTATACCATGTGCTCCCAGGCTTGGAGACATTAGTTTCTACAACAGTTTCCCTTCCTTCATCAGAGAATCGGTGTCTGTTAGTCAAGACTTACGTGGACTTACTATCTCTCAGGTTACTCTATCAACTCTTAAACACCTCTGATGCACAGCTCAACAGTGTAGGCAATTTATAGCATGGGCTGCTCAGATATTCAATGCGTGCCTTCCACAACTTTCACAATACTATGCCTAGACCAAGTATAGATGTCAGGAACAATCTCTCAGTGGGTCATGGGCAGTCCAAAGACTTCCAGCTATACTGGTCCTGGAGGCTGAGCTACTACTTTTAAATCTGTCAAAGACAGCTCTACAATCAGCAGTGTAGGAATACTCTTGAAGATGAGCAAGCGAGAAGGTAGAACTGAAAACAAAGCATGGACAAACTTGCACCATCTGTTTGAAATACCAACATTTTCCAAGAATAACCTGTGCATCACTACCTCAAGACATTCCCCAAAAGAAGTGCTTATTGAAGCAACAGAATTGTCTGAAAATGATTTGTGACTGTGAGGAAGGCGATACATTTGTTCTAGTGGGTGCAGCTCAGAGCTTCACACCTGCCTATATTAGATTCAGTTTCTATGCATCTGTATCCTTCAGTGCTCATCTCACAGCTCCATATAACAGCTTTATCCTTCAATTTGGCAGCCAGGCCTCACTGACAGTGAAAAAAAACCCAAAAACTGAGAAAGCGAGAGGAAGGGTTGTCATAAGAGAATGAATCCAGATGCAAGGGGTTCTTTTACCCTATTGCTTTGAATTTTGAGTACATTAATAGTCGTGTCTTGTCAAAAGCAGAAATAAAGGCTATGCTTGGCATTTTAAAAGAACGTGAATGGTTCAGAAACAAAAGCCCTGTTGACCTTCCTGGCTCAAAATATCTGGGTTTTGGTTGTTTAAACAGAGGTACTAAGTGTCTTTTAACAGGCTCTGCAGTGTCCTTTATCCCACAGTTCCTGATCCAGCAGAATACATCTCTCCTTTAGGCTTTGTGTCAGACTCACTGTAGCCCTATAGCACATCTCAAATGATACTTAACTCTCCTAAACTCTTTTTGTAGCCGCTGCTCTTGATGCCATCCATAAGAACTGAATGAGCAGGGTCTCTAATAACTAGGTCACCTATCAAAGTGCCTGGACATAAATTCAGTGATTAATTTCTATAGTTTTACTTGAAATGTGACAATAATGACTGTTACAAGCTGAATGATAAAAAAAGGCCCTTAATCATGATAATGACTTGCACAGAGGAAACGGAGATGACAACTTTCGGATAGAGGCTGATAGATTCAGGTAGAATACAATAAATTCCTTTCCTGTTTTCACAGCTGAGTGTCTGGTTTTGTGTTCTTGCATGCAAGTTGGATTTAAATTGCTTGTAGCAAATGAAAAGCTACCTCTCAATGATCTCCAGGGATTATTTCAGATTCATATTTATTTTTTTTAATCATTCTAGAGTGTTTTGACTTTAACTCAAATTTGATGTTGAAGAGTGGACCTCTGGGAAGTTGCACCCAGTATTTACTTCTAAACCCATGCTGCCCAGAATATAAACTAATTCTTAGAGCTTCAAAGTTTGGCCTTGAAAACAAAAATGGCTTGGGCCTAGCTTCTGCATGATTTCAGCAGCCAAGCTCTAGATCAATATGTTGGCACAACATCTGCAGTCAATTCAATGATGTGATTCATAGGAGCATGATTTCTGTCAACCTTGTTACTTGCAAGTACTTAATTTTATTTAAGTCTATTTGGAGACAGGTGAAAATACACACACAGTGCAAAGGAAAAATATTTTATTGTGAACGTGGCATGTATGAAATGCTCCTCAGAACAGACTCCTATATATCAAATGAGTTAAAAAAAAAAGCTCTGACGAGATAAATGAACACTGCTTGAGAACAATGAAGAACATGCACACAGCTGCTCTAACAGCACAATTCTGATACCAGTCACAACATATTATATAGCTTTTATGACAATGTTTAGAAAAAATGCAAATATTGGACCTACTCCTGCATTATTGTACATCATCCAAATCTTCAGTGAAACTTGCAGGTGTGTGGAGGGAAAAATGAGAGCAAACTGATACCTCATCTCAGGCAGCAGAAGGCAGAGACAGAGGAAACATCAAAAACAAAAGACAAAACCACTATTCTACAAAAGTAAAAAGGCAAATATTATCCCAAGGAATATTATTATTTGCACAAGAAACCTTAATTGCAGCATCCTGACTCCATTAAAGCCAACGCGAGTACGCCATTGAGATCAGTGGAGCCTGAATTTCATATTGAAATTTAAAACATTCTTGCATTAGTGTAAACATCGGCAGAGAAATGTCAGCATCTATATAAGTATTCAAGTGCTGTTTAAAAAAACAATAAAAAATAGACAACGTTAACCCAAAATGCCAGTACAAATCCAAAAGGCAGATAATTAAAAGAGGGTTTTTTTTTTTTCAAATATACATTTTGAAGTATTTAAAAACATCTATTTCTTACTATTTGTATACCATTGTTAGGGAACAAATATATGAGAAAAAACTGAGTTATTTACAATGATAAAGGAAGGGCACAGTGTTTGCTCAGATTTATTTGAAACCAGTATTTTTCCGCTTTGGAGTCATGACATATACCTGCACACTCAAACATGTTTCAAAGCAGTGCTGAGAAATGGCTGTACTTCACCGTTATGGAATATAATCCTTCTGTGCAAGTATTTCAGTATTATTCCTCATGAGCCATTTATACCCATTCATATTTTCAGCTAAAAAAAAACAACAAACCAACCTTAAAAATTTCTTGTAGAAATATTTTGTCTTAAACAACCTGATGAGATTTTACAGTCATGCATTTGGAGATTCAGAGTCAATACCACTTTTCCATTTACTGTTAGAGTTGTGCCTGTCTTCAAACAGTTCTTTGCTAATTTTTGTGCGGATCTCAGGACTGGATAACAGCGCCTTTATCTGGTTCAGCTTGGGTAACAGGGCCTGTGTTTCTCTGCGTAAAGCTTCCTTTGCTAAGTCTGCTTCATGGCTCTTTCCTAGAGGAAAGGAACAATATAATACATTTTAAAACAACTCATTCATTTAGAATCACTAAGGTATGGAAAGAGATTGTATCTGGTTTGGACAGTACTAAGTGCTCAGTTTTTGCCCATATTGAATTTTTATAAAAAGATACTTCATCAAAAAATATAATTTACATCAACAAATGCTACCAAAAAGTAAAGAACAGTACAGTGTCACATTTAGGAGAAATTCCTGTCATATTACATACTGTGTAATAGTATCTGCAACGAATATCTGTAGTGGTAATTTTTAGCTTGGGATTGACTGCCGTTGACTAGGAAACAGCACGTGCTCTCACACGGAGCAAGCAGCCCCGTGGAAGTGCCAAACCCTCAGGCGGAGGGCATCGCTTCCACTTCTGACAAGGCCTTTTCCACAGCCATTCATGACAATCCAAAAGACAAACGCAAAAGGTTCAGTTTCTCTTCAAAAGCAAGGAAGGGATTCTTGGTATCAAGAGGAAGTGAAGACTGGAGCTGCCTGCTTCACCATTCTTGTCTCTCTTCCACTGTCCATCCCTCTCAGCATTCACAGATTTTCAGCAGTGCAAACACTTATTAAACCAGTAGACGGTGTCCTTCAATTCAGAACAAACTTTTGATAAGAGACTCACAAAGCAGAGTTCCTGTCACCCAGCACCACTTAGCAAATTTCAGCAGGGGGCTGGGACATGTCTTTGTAGTTATTCTTGGTGGGATATTTGCTCCCGGGCTTTTTGCACAGTGCTCACTTGCTGTTATCCTTGTCACTCCCATTCTTACTGCCGCTTGCTGCTTCTTCAGTTTTTGTGGGGCTTCCATCAGTCTCTCTGGTTTTGTTTTGCGTTTCTTCTAAATATTGCTGTACAGCCTTGAGCACCGCATTCTCCACCAGCCTTTTGCTGAGGCTCACCAGCTCTGCATCGTCTGGCTCTGCTGCATGTTTTTCACCTATGCGTCACAACAGACAAGAGAAGGAATTCATTGCCAAGGAAAGAGAGCAGCTGTGATTGTATCAGGAGCCTCTGTTTGAGCTGGATTTTAAGTTATTAGCTGCCTCTTCCTGATTGTAAAAAGTAATTTCCCCTCCCTCAAGCTCAGAAACAAAAGCATTCCATAAAGATGTATACAGTATATCAGATCAAAAACATTTCACTGCTTATCTGTATTGTAACACTCCATTAAAAGCAACAGCTTAACACTACGAACACTCACTCAGAAGAGTAAGTGTGCAAATTTAATTTATTCTGGCCAACAATCATCTGTGACATCTGGGTAAAGACGAAGAACATGGCACAAAATAGATTTACACTTTAGTAGCATTTAGGTGCCTCCGTTTTGTGATTTTACTTACTAAATCCAACACCTGTCTATTTATTCACTGCTTGTAATTCAGGAGTTTCTCACAGAAAAAATTACTAAAATACTCTAAGCACAGGTTAGAAATATTTTTGTAAACAAAGCATAAACCTTAGGAAAACCACATACTCCCCTCCTGCCTCTCTTCTGTCTTCTAACTTAAAGCTCTGATATCTAAGGATTGCAAGTTCCAGCATTCTATTCTTAGATATCTGCTGACAAAAGCAAGAAGCTGGCATTTCCCTGCTTTGCTAAGCCTTCATATGAATAAACATTTACAACAAAAACAACTACATACATAGTGAGGATTCGCATACATCGTGACATCTAATTTGAAATGGTACTTTTCCATGAAACATTTTCCCAATAAACCATGTAGCCTACTACAGAATCCTCCTTTTATGAAGAATGCATTCCACGAAAAATAAATGTTATTGCCCAATTTCCACTGGCCATGCCATTTGCCACTTCACAGTCTTCTGCACTAGGTAAATAACTGTCTTCCTCCATTTATATTTAAAGGTCATACTTTTAATGTCCTCTTCTGGAGTTCACATTCTGCAAACAGTAATAAGAGGCTGCTTAGTCCCACTCATCTGGTGAACAAGATATTATTTTATGCTCCCAACACAGAGCTTTGCACTGTTCAATTACCTACATCTGCCCTTTTTCATTTATGGAAATTTATTCAAGTTTGCCTGCACATGTAGATTATAGTTATAACATACTTTTATTAGTGTTTCCAGTGGGTTGCAAAACCTGGAGTGATTTCACTGATAAAACATAATTCATATGGGGATTCAAGAAGGAGAGGGAGAAGTAAACAAAATTCTTCATATTCAGATGCAGCACCTTTATTAGCTGTTAACATGAGCATTGTGCTCTGGAACAGCAAGATACACCAAACTCTTCCAGTTCTGGGCCTCTACAGCACCGTTACTGTGGGGAAGGAAGAACTGCACTCCCCAGCTGAAGAATCAAGACTAGACCTTGGTAAAGCATTTAATTACATTTTAGAAGAAGTTTGGAAAAAATACACTAAAAATATTGAAAGGATATCTACATGGATAGTTTTGGCTAAAACCAAATTAAAAATATATGATAAAACACTAAAAACAGATTTAGCATTTCCAAGAAGAAACATTTTAGGCTAATACGCAAGTCCAACAGAGGCAGAGATACTATTCCCAAAACCAAACAGCTATATGCTCCATGCTCTCTAATTCACTGCTTGCCATGTCACTATCTCTAAATCCTGGGTTTAAGTCTATCCTTTAACTTACAGAAAGGAGGGACTAAATTCAGACTCATCTCTCAGAACACCCAAGATATACAGGAGAAGCATCTCCTCGCAGCTTTTCTGAATTGATCCCACAAGCCCTTTTGAATGCAGCCCTCTGATTCCTAATTTCCTTTGCTTTTAGCAAAGATGCTCGAAAAATATGTTGGAAGTCCCAGTCTATTTATTCAGTAGAAAAAAAACTAATATTGTGGTTTTTGGTTGCAGAGTTTCTCATTTTTCAGAATTGCTCATGGGTCACAGAAATTGTTACTCACACAGCGCTAATGATCAGTCCATGCAACTCGGAACAAAATCAATGGGAAATATGGTGTTCAGCCACTCTTACATTCAATCCTGTAGTATTTAATATGCAGAATATGACTAATCAGTCACAGAGGCCTCCAGATACCACAAAACAGTAGTGACTGTATTTACTCAGAATGTAATTTTACTTGTAGTACATCATGTATTATTCTTACAGTCTTAAAAAGGACAGAGCTCTTCTCTCATAAATACTTTCTGCAAAACAGTTCTCATTTACATATATATGTATAAAATCCATAGATCTACTGTTGCATTTATAATTTCAAACTACATAGCGCACTTGTAAGTAATTTCTCAACCGTAGAAAAAGATTACTTAAAATGAGCCTTTTAAAAGTAGAGTTTATATAGCTACAGAAAAATGATTTTGCATTTTTTTTGGTCGTTTACTTTTAATATTTTGAGATATTCATGGCTCATTAACAGTCTAGGCTCAAGTCTGTAGCACCTCCTAAGTGAGCTCTGCACTCCCACTGGAAAGACATACACAACATCTGACTGACAAGCAAATGCAGGCACATCCCTGCATGAAGATTGTCCTAGGATCTATCCATCTGGCCACCTTGGTGGACTGCCACATGGGGCTATATGATTCCCTGATGCTCTGTTTATATTCTCATAATCCTTAAAAAATAGCAGTTGTGGGAGTGTCTGCAATGCTGTGGTTCACTGTTGTACCATTTCTACTCATGACTGTTGATAAAAACAAAAAGGTCATGTAATAAAACTGAGTATTGATCATCTATATTTAACACACATATATGTCCTTTTATATCTCTTCCTCCATGATGCATCCACTGTTCACCTGCTTCTTAGAGGAATATAATTCCTTTGCAGCTGGTAAATGCTTCTTAGTGTGGACTGTCTTACATTATTGGAATTATCGGAATATCAGGAAAAGTCATTGCAGAGATGAATGTTTCAGATTTAAAAAGAAGGTTTCAAAATTCAGACTTGCTCTGTTTGTAAACTCTCTTCTGAAAAGGGAACAGACATACCACAAGACTGTTTTTGCATCAATGCTGTAATACTTAATTCTGTGCCTGTGAATAAAAAATTTCCCCTGTCTTCTTATCTATGTGGCTCAGAATAAAAATGAAAAAAAAAAACCTTTCATTTTATCCCGGAATTCTATTCTGTAATTTTCAAAATATGAAAACAAATTCATACCTTGTGAGTGTACCTCAGTGCATCCATGCTTAGCAGTGTTTTTTATTACTGCAACTGAAGCACACCCCTTGTCCTGAAATGAGCGTCATTTTTCACAAGGGAACTATCAACTGCACAGAATTATTCAAAAGGTGTTTTATGATCCTACATCTGGATGCTAGCAGTTATGGACATGAACCAAATGCCTGCATCCAAATCCAAGTTAGAATTCAAATTCACTGCTATATCTCTCTACTGGACTAGGTTTACTTTCTAAGTGTACACTCCCTTCCAATTTACAAGACTTTGATCTGACTTTTGAAACACTGTACTGGAACAAATCAGGTATCATGGTCCTGGTACAGCATTGTCATGGCCCTGACACAGCCTAGAGTATGTGTAGATATCTCAAATCTGGAGAGAGGCAGGACTGTTACTTGAATTCCTCTTCTTTTATATGACTAGTTTATATGACTAGTCAATTTTTTTTTTTTTTTGGTGACAGATTTAATTGAAAGAAGCTACAATGGATCCCATTTATAGAAAAAGACCATTTTACAACCTTTTACCAGCTACACTCCAAGACAATGTTCTGCAATCCTCTCCTCATGGTCTCAACACACTGGGCTTTGTTTTTCCTTCCAACAACAAAATAATGACAACATGGGGAAAATTACAAAGGAGACCCTTGGTATTCTGAATGGGTAACCAAGACTAGTGGGGAAATCTGTACTCTGGCAGCAGAGGTTCTGCTCTGCACCCTGGGGAGGGCTGTGGAAACAGACATGGCTCCATCTACCTTTTGGTTTATTCATTTTCTAATACAGTTTCTACAAACTCTAGAAACAAAAAAACCCACAAGGGTTGCCCCACAGGCAATTTCCCAAAAACTAAACATTAAGAAATTCTTTCTGAATGCTGGAAAACTTCATCTTTCTACTTACACAGTGCCTCATAACACCACCAAGGTAAGCCAAACCAAGTTGCTGTTGCATATACACAAAGCTTTCACCACAAGATTCCTTTTCTATAGTGACACCTCAGTGGCTCCAACTCATAATAATCTCTCACTGTAATTGGCTATTAACACTCCCCCCGGACAGAAGCAAAACTGTGTGTGCAGTACAACAGGACTAAAAGGAAGGCAACAACTATGCTAACTACTGATGGAGCAAGAAACCTTCAGCAGAAGACTTGCAATTACTTCTGCACATGGGGGGTTTGGAGAAAACCAAGGAAGGCCAACGAAACAAATGTCAGACAGATTTCAGCATGTGAATTCATACACTTTGCAATGTCTGTGGTTGTGCCTTTATCATGGTTCCCTATATCTATGCTAGAAGGAAAGACTAAGACTGAAGACATCAATTATAATGCCCAGGCAGATGCAGACTATTGCAAGGCTTCCGTGCCCAGCTGCAGCCTGTGCAAACATCTAGTTTTTGTGACATTGACTCAAAATTAAATTAAACCTCACTGACTTCCGTGGGAACTGGATGAAGTTCCCATGGCTGCATACTGAACTGGAATGTCCTATGCATCAGACCAACATGTTGAACATTTTCTTTACTGAGGACTTTCAGAAAAATTTGGTAGGTCATATATATTAACAGAACTATAGCATTAGAAAAATACCATCCACCTTCATCCTGCAAAGACAGAGAGTCCACAGTCCATAATAAATTGAATAACAAGCTATAATCAGGCACCAGACCATTTGCTTCCCCTCCTTGCCACAGGCTGAAGATGAGCCAGCATGGCTGGCCATGATTCAAGATCATGGTTTTAAAGTAATGAACACAAACATGAGCATGTGCCCATATCTAATCAACACAATA